CATTGAATCATACACTTTAAATTGGTGAATTGTATCATGTGTGAAATTTATCTCAATAAAGCTGCTATTCTGAAAAGAAATAAAGGCCTATCTGTGCATCAAAATGGGGTGCCTGTGTGCATTTGCAGAGAAATTCTGTCTTCAGCAGTTTCAAGTCCTGCCCTAGGAACAAGTATAAAAATTACAGCTGGATAAAATTTTTCCATTAGTCTGTTTCATATTCCTCTTCAGTAAACTTTTTATCCATGGATTCTGTGGAGTCCTGTCATGACTTTTTTTTCCCTCTTTTCAAGAAGGAGTTCTTGTTCTGTTGCCCAGGCAGGAGTGCAGTGGCACAATCACTGAAACCTCTGGCTCCTGCGTTCAAGTGATTCTCCTGCCTCAGCCTCCCAAGTATCTGGGATTACAGGTGAGTGCCACCACGCCTGGCTAATTTTTGAATTTTTAGTAGAGACAGGGAGAGTTTCACCATTTTGGCCAGGCTGGTCTCAAACTCCTGACCTCATGATCCGCCAGCCTCAGCCTCCCAAAGTGCTGAGATTACAGGCATGAGCCACTGCACCTGACTGACATTTTGTTTAAACTTGTAACAGGATTATCTCTTCTGCTTGAGGCTTTGCCACTGTTGTTAAATTTAAAATGCCTTTTTAAGGAAGTACATTTCTTAATTATAGTATTATAGAATCTATTACAGTTTCTGATGTAACTTAAACTTTCTCCCTCATTTAGCTTTGCTATTTTGTTTCATTTCATTTACTTTAGGGTAAAACAACAAAAATAACAATAACTATGTGTGGAGCCCCTAAGCATTTGATAGGCACTATGTTAAGCACATTAAATGCATTATTACATTTAACTCTCCATGGTAGATACTATTTATATGCCCATTTTATAGATAAGGAAACTGAGGCTTAGAAAAAACAAATATCTTGCTCAAAGTCCTACAATCAGTAAATGGCAGCCCTTAGGCTCAATCCAAACCTGCTTGACACAAAATCCCATGCTCTTCTAAACCAAAAGATCTTCAAACTTTTCTGTAAAACTAGATGGTAAATATCTTAGTCTTTACAGATCAAAAAGCAAATTTGAGGACATTGTGTAGGTACTTATATAATAAGAGAGAAAGCAAATGCCTACAAGTTTGAATTTAAATTTCATGTGTTAAACAAAATTATGGCAGGCCATTGTTTTGGGCTGAGCTCCTGCACTAGGCCCAAGCAGACCAGACCAAACCAAAATGGAGTCACTCATGCTAATGCTAAATGCTAAAAAATCAAACTAAAACTTCAAAAATACAGGTCCCAAAATAGACCAGTTTTTCTCTTGTCCTGAAAACAGGAGATTCAAGCATAACAAGGAAGTTGCCTCTGCTCTATCCCTTACAAAAAAGTAATCTGGGCCGGACAAAGTGGTTCACTTCTGTAATCCCAGCACTTTGGGAGGCCAAGGCAGATGGATCACCTAAGGTCAGGAGCTCGAGACCAGCCTGGCCAACATGGCAAAACCCCCATCTCTACTAAAAATACAAAAATTAGCCAGGTGTGGTTGCACACACCAGCAGGAGAATCTCTTGAACCCAAGAGGTGGAGGCTGCAGTGAGCCAAGATTGTGCCACTGCACTCCATCCTGGGTGACAAGGTAGACTAGACTTTATCTCAAAAAGTAATAATAATAATTTGATGCTAACCAATTGGTTTTATTGTTGTTGTTTTGTTTTGTTTTGCTATTCTGTTTCCCTGTTCCCACCTTATAAAACCCAGTGTTATGCTATTTTCTAATGGGATTAGAGACCAAATAACCCTATTTATGATAAAAAGTGATGTCAATGCCTAAAGTTTTGGGCAACCTCGAAATTAATCATCCTCTCAAAATTGAGAGGTTGACCAAAGGAGGAATTGTTAAATTCTGTGTGGCCTAAAAAATACTTTCTCCTTACATATTTTAAATTTGCCCTTAAAGGTTTCCCAGTACATAAAAAGCTGTAACTCAACTTGATGTGTATAATGGACTGTAACTTAACTCTTGTAACAAGTAGTGAGTCTCAGCCAATCACAGCAGCCGAACTTCAGTCAACTGCAGATAGCCAACTCTTCAAAGCAGGCTCAAATAAGGCAAATGCCCAGCCTTAACCGACTGTTTCCGTGCCTCGCTTTACTTTTACTGTCCAGGAATGTTACCTAACCATGGGGCAACCCTATGGTCAATCTGAACCTAGTCTGGTTCTAGGGGCTGCCTAATTCACACATCATTCTTTGCTCAACTGAACCCTATTAAATTAATGTGTCTAAAGTTTTCCTTTTAACATGTATAATTTTCACATCATGAAATAATAGTCTTCTTTAATTTTTTCTTTAATGGTTTTCTTTAATTGTTTAATAGTCTTCTTTAATTTTTTCTAATAGATGAAAAATGTAAAAACTGGCTAAATAAGAAATGGTAAATGGTAAACAATAAATGGTAGCAGGCCATAGTTTCCCAACTCCTGATCTAATTTTTGTATTTTTAATAGAGATAGGGTTTCACCATGTTGGCCAGGCTGATCTTGAACTCCTGACCTCAGGTGATCTGCCTACCTCCACCTCCAAAGTGCTGGGATTGCAGGCATGAACCACCACACGTGGCCATACATCGTTCATTTTTTAAACCACTTCATGGTATTCCATAATAGAGATATAACTATTTCATCATGTCTTCAAAAGGGACAGAAAGATTGACTAAGCACCTCTTTCAAACATGCTCAAAAGGTAAATTCAACTTATTATCAAGAAATATAAGAAAGTATATTGATTATAGTTTGTATGTTTAATAATAGACTTTACTCTTATTCTAGCTTGATATTTTTAGACTTGTTAGCATCACTTATTAAATTAGTTTAATTCAATTATGGAAATATCAAAGTTCAAATTCAATAAATTTTAATATTAATTTGTTGTTAACAGTTCTGGTTACTTATAATTAATATGATTCTACCCATATATTGTATTTTTATAGCAAACTCATATTTTGGATTGTGTATTGCTATCCATTAATTTGCAGATGTACTTTCATAATTTAATTGTGGTTAGTGAGTTTTTGGAAGCAGTATACAATACCTAGATTAAAATTAATTCTGAACTAATGATAGGAGAAGGATGAGTTTACATATTGCATCTTGTTAATAGTACTGCTTTGCGTCTAAGGTATAACTTAGCTATTCATAGCCCTGGGTAATACCACCAGTAGGCTGGGTGCAGTGGCTCACGCCTGTAATCCCAGCACTTTGGGAGGCCAAGGCAGGTGGATCAACTGAGGTCAGGAGTTCTAGACCAGCCTGGCCAACATGGTGAAACCCTGTGTCTACTAATACTACAAAAATTAGCCAGGCATGGTAGCACACACCTGTAATCCCAGCTACTTGGGAGGCTGAGGCAGAAGAATTGGGTGGGGACCAAACCATATTACCCCCCCAAAAAAATCCTGTTTGATTAAGTTTTATATGTATGAATATACATATATGCATACATGTGTATGCAGAAAATTATAACAGAAAGATAGAGTATATGTAAATATGAATTTTATATGTACTGATTTGTAGAATAACAATTACAAGTGGTATGAAGTGAAATAAGCAATTTGTTTATAAGTATGGAGTATGATTCCATTTCAGTAAATATTAACAAAATCATGCTTGTATGTGCATGGGGATATATTAATATGTGCTCATATATATGTATGCTATACATATGTGTGTATACATATATATATGTATGTATGCTTATATGTATGTATGCAGAAGCAATATGTTTGGGATGAAACACTCCCTTTTGATAACATGAACTACCTCAGGGAGCAGTATAGATGACAGAGACAATGGGAGAAGAAGAGCAATGTTACTTTAAAAAAAAATCTTTGTATCATATTACTGGTTAAAAGAGGCATATAAAATTATGTTTTAAAATTTAAATAAATAAGATACATTAGCAACCTTTGTATGGATGGAAAATTTTAAATACACATGAAAATACTGATTGCATATACCTTTTGAAGTTCTACTGATAGGTATTTATCCTACTATTTACATATACAGACACGACATTCATCACAATATTGTTTTTAAGGTGAGAAGTGAGACATCCTAGCTATTTAATTATAGGGGAATGGCTAAATAAGTTTGGCTCATTCAAAGGATACCATGGAAGAGCAAGGCTTTGCATCATATTTAGATATGAAACTGCTAGAAGCACCTTTATTTTGAATAGCCTCTAAGAAAAAGTTTAATGGAAAAAGTCTAAATGAAATATTCTGATTAATAACAGAATCTATACTATAAGATGGTCTATTTCTGATCAGAAAGGTGGAAAGTTCATCTAGCTTAAGTGGATAAATTCAATTTTCTGTAACATTCATATCTGATAGATTAAAAAACAGGTAAGAATGATTTCCTTAAGAAACATGCTTTATAAGTTTTATGGCCATTACATTCTTTAAAGTTAAGGGTTACATTCCAGGGAGATTAAATAAAAACTGCAAAGTTAACAGTTGACTTACCCAAGGAGATACTTGTTTTTCCTCAGTAAACATCGAAGAGAAAAATAATGTAATATAACACAGCATGCATCTGATAAATATGTAACGGCAACAGGGCGCACACGGACCTTTGCCCTACCTGGCTGGTGCCCTTTGTTCATTGTACTTCTGAGGTCGCCAGAAGGTAAATGTTCATTTCCCTATCTTAAATGAGTAGAATAACAACCGGAATAGTACTTTGAAATTCTAAAAGCTCTTGGATCAATAAGATTCTGTCTTTCCAAGGTTTGCATTAAATATCATCGTGACCTATACTATCTTTTTTATTAAGCAAAGCTTAATCAAATTTTAGGTTTAAAATACAAGAGTCATTCAAAAGATATATTGTTAGGTAGAATAAAATGGAAAATAGTATGTTGTTTCATTTGGAGGGGAGGAAAAGAAAAGAGAAAATGCTTAATATAATAATTTTTATTTTTATTACTTCATGAAAGAACTTCTCTATGACCACTGATTTTCTTACTTGCTTTCGGAGCAATGTAGAATTTTAGTCATCACTTCACCGTCATATTAATTCATTGCCATTTTCCCAGCTGAAAGAGAAAACTTCCTTTTAATTTTTTAACTCATTTTGAAACAATTTTAACTTACAAAAGTTACAAAAATAGTAGAGATGTCCATATACCCTTTATTGTGTTTTCCCAAATGTTAGTATCTCACTATTACTCCAATGATCAAAATCAGGAAATGAACATCACGCTACCATTCACGAAACCAGAGACCTTATTCAAATTTTGCCAGTTCTTCCACTGAAGACCTATTCTGGGCTAAGATCTAATCCAGGATCCGACGTTGCATTCAGTTGTCAATAGGAGTGAACTTAGCATGTTTAAGAAGCTGGAATATTAGAGCAGATGGAGTATAGTGAGCAAGGAGCACAGAGACACAACACAGAGTTGTACAGAACCAGATTGTGTAGGTCAGAATAAAAAGTACACATTTATCCTGAGAGCAGTGAGGAGCCATTGCAGGATCTTAAATAGGAGCCCCACTGCTGCTGGCAGTACCGCTTGGGACAGGCCCCATCCCAGCCCCCAGCAATGGGCAGCACACCCCAGGAAAGGGCCCCCAACCCTCTCCCCTACGCGGGCTGTGAGGCCTCAAATACCGCCCCCACCAGCCCCCGCAACACCAGCAGTGACACCCTGGATAGTGCCCACTGCCCATGGCAGGTCACTCCCAAGTTGTCCCCCATGCCTAAGGCTGCATGGGCCAAGATGGTGAACCTATCCCGCCATCTTACCTTTCTAGCTGCCCTGTAGTCTCCGTCAGTGCCAACAACTGCAACAGCGAGGCGAGCAGAGCCCATAAGACAGACTCTAGCCTCCAGCATGGGCGGTGGTCGGCTACTCCCATTTCTCCTCGAAGCCAGCTCGGAGCAGGTGGGCCCATGTCTGAAATGGCGAGACTCCTGCTTGGCATCCTTTATATTCGGGGTTCCTAGACTACATGTTCGGATTGGATGCGAGCGAACTTCAAGGTCTACTCTAACTGGGCTTTATTTCTATGGTCTGATTGGCTAACCTAAAACTTGCTCTCATCCAACCCGAAGCTATTCTAGCCAGGCTGAGCTGCGGCCCCTTTAAGAGGGTGTGGTGCTTCAGCCTTGAGGCGAGTGCCTGTCAGCGTGAGTTCCCCTATAGAAGGCCTCCGGGCCCTCGAGAAGTCGGAGGCAGCGGCGGTGGCAGCGGGCTCCAGCCAGCCCGGCCTGGCCACAGGGAAGTCAGCGGCCCAGCCCGGCCTGAGGGAAGTCGGCGTAGGCGGCGGCGCGGTCAGAGCTAGTTTCTTTGGAGAAGCCGTAGTGGCTTCAACGTGATGGTGGAGGACGAGACAGGTCTCTGCGGTAAGTGGCGAGGACTTGTACCCCACCGGGAATCCTCCAGACCTCCCTGCTCCTTCTCCGCGGCTCCCTGCTTTGTCTGGGATGGGTTGGTGGCACCATGGGGTGCAGCACTGTCAGCGGCGAGGGATGGGTTCCGGGTGCTGTCAGGTGTTACGTTGCCCCCAGTCGGGGGTCGGGGGGTGGGTGTGAGATCCACGACATCATTGCCTGTGTCTGGGAGCTGGTTGGGGGCACTATCCAAGGCTGCATTGCCCACATGGGGAGTGGGTTGGGGGCACTGTCTGGGGCTGCAATGCTGGTGGGGGAGGATGGTTTAGGGGGTGCTGCACTGCTGGTGGGGGGAAGGGGTGGTGTTAAAGGCGTCATGGGGACTACACTGAGACAGAGGTTGGGGGGCTTGTTTGGAGAGCTACACAGGGTTGGACTGCCTGTGGAGTGGGGTAGAGGGTTGGTGGGGACACTCTTGGGGCCGGATACACAGCCTGAGTGGTGGGGAGGCCGCGGGTGGGCCAGGTTCTCTCAGGGATCTGCACTGCCTGGTAAAGAGCGGGTGCGTGTGCTATTGCGGGCTGCGTGGGTTGTGGCAGGGGCAGGTTGGGTGCTATCAGGGGCTACCTGAGCTAGCCATGGGGGTACTTCCCAAGGTGGAGAGGGAGTTTGGAGTGCTATCGGTGGCTGCACTGCCCAAGACAGGGAGTTGGTTGGGGGCGCTATCCAGGGCCGTACTGTTCCCGATGGGGAGTGAGTTAGGGCAGTCACTATTCAGGGTTGCAGCGCCCACAGTGGGGGGTGGTTTGGGTGCCATATGGGGGCATCACTGCCTGTGGTGGGGGTCTGCTTGGGGACGCTATCTGTGGCTACACTGCCCACCCCAGGGAGCCAGTTGGGGTGCTATCCTGGGCTGTGCTGCCCATGGTAGGGGGGTGGTTTGCGGGTGCCATGGAGTGCTGCAGTGTCAAAGGCAGGGACAGGTTAGGGGCTGCCATGACATGCTACACTGCTGGTGGTGGGGGATGGGGTGTTGGTGCTATCCTGGGGCTACACTGCCAGTGGCAGTGGGCTCTGTCGGAAGCTGCACTGCTGGTGGCAGGTGATGGAGGTTTCAGTGACAGCAGTGGTCTCTGAGAGAGCAGTCCTCCTCTGCCTGGACTCTAAACTCTAATAGGCCATCTGCTGTTGCATGGCGGGCACACATTTCTGTAGCAGTCACCATGGGGTGACAGGGCCCTGTGGGTGGAGGTCTCAGGAATGGGAACCAGTACATGGGTGGGGAGGGCTGGCTGGGGCTGTGTTTCTGCTGCTCCTGCTTCCGGAGCACAGCCTGGGTGGTCCCAGTGGTTCCTGTGGAGCGGGAAGCCCAGGCACCATGGTGTCTCCAGTCTCTACTCTGTAGCCAGTTTGGGCCAAAAAGAGATGCTGTGGCCTTTGGAGGGTGAGTGTGAGTGCCTTCACTGAAACTGGCCCATGCCACCCAGTGGCCAGCAGGACAAGGTGGGGGTCTAATGCTACCATTCTCTTGTGTCCCGTTCTAGGCTTTCCTGGCTTTGCCCGCCCAGCTGCTCCATGCCACGAGAAGGAAGAGCTATCTGCTGCATGCTGGAGGCTGGAGCCTGTGGCACCACGGCTCGCCTCGCTTCAGTAGGTGGCAGCGATGGAGACTGCAGAGCGCCGGAGAGGTAGGAGCGTGACTGGCTGCCACCAGGGCAGGGATGGGTGCAGAGGTGGCCAGGTGGCAGCCTCTGAGGTGGCCTTGGTCCCTGGGTCCCCCCCTGCTTTTTATGGCAGGAAGAGCTGGGGTTGCCACTGCTTTTGATGTGCCTTGTGCTGGTGGCAACTACAGTTGAGCTGTAGGGTGGCAGCGCTGGTTTCCGTTCTTCTGTTCCTTTTTGTCCCTAGTCCAGGGTGCTGGTCGCAGGATACCCTACATCCCCAGGGCCTTTGCCTCTGCTGCTTCCTTACCCCACTCATTCCAGGGCCTTTGCCTCTGCTGCCTCCTCACAACACCCACCCCAGGGCCTTTGCCCCTGCTGCTTCCTCACCGCACTCACTCCAGGGCCTTTGCCTCTGCTGCCTCCTCCCCACACTCACCCCAGGGCCTTTGCCCCTGCTGCCTCCTCACCACCCTCACCCCAGGGCCTTTGCCCCTGCTGCCTCCTCACCACACTCACCCCAGGGTCTTTGCCCCTGCTGCCTCCTCCCCACACTCACCCCAGGGCCTTTGCCCCTGCTGCCTCCTCACCACCCTCACCCCAGGGCCTTTGCCCCTGCTGCCTCCTCACCACACTCACCCCAGGGTCTTTGCCCCTGCTGCCTCCTCCCCACACTCACCCCAGGGCCTTTGCCCCTGCTGCCTCCTCACCACCCTCACCCCAGGGCCTTTGCCCCTGCTGCCTCCTCCCCACACTCACCCCAGGGCCTTTGCCCCTGCTGCCTCCTCACCACCCTCACCCCAGGGCCTTTGCCCCTGCTGCCTCCTCCCCACACTCACCCCAGGGCCTTTGCCCCTGCTGCCTCCTCCCCACACTCACCCCAGGGTCTTTGCCTCTGCTGCCTCCTCACCACACCCACCCCAGGGCCTTTGCCCCTGCTGCTTCCTCACCGCACTCACTCTAGGGCCTTTGCCTCTGCTGCCTCCTCATAACACCCACCCCAGGGCCTTTGCCCCTGCTGCCTCCTCCCCACACTCACCCCAGGGCCTTTGCCCCTGCTGCCTCCTCACCACCCTCACCCCAGGGCCTTTGCCCCTGCTGCTTCCTCACCACACTCACCCCAGTCAAATGGTATTTCTGGTTCTAGATCCTTGATGAATTGTCACACTGTCTTCCATAATGGTTGAACTAAAGTAATATTTTTCTTAATCTGCTTATTGGTGATGTGTACTCTGAAAGCAAAAACAGCCAAGTATGTTATTTTCACAGATGTCAGACTACGTAAGTGTGTTTCCAAAATCTCTGGTTACTTGGGTTTCTCACCCTTCCCCTCAACTATGTAGATGGTATTCTAGTGTTTCCTTGAATTTCCTATCACAGAGGAAAAGCCAGGGTCCACCTGATTTTCATTCATTTCTAAGTACTTTTCTCAGATCCCGGAATGGTTTAAAGTTTTCCAGCATTTCAATACATATTCTGCCAGGATATGTCTATGTGAGGATTTCTTTTTTATAGAACATGATTTTTTTAAAGGTCAAGAAAAAAATGTTCTCTTTGTTGTTGTTTTTTTCTTTAGTTTGTTCTACTCTATTCTGAAAATGTTATTGTATTAATATTGGAGTTTTAAAATTGGGTTTCAGAGAGCTCTCATCATCATCACTTTCATCTGTTATCCTTTTCCTCTACATTCTTGGAGGACTTCTCCAATTTATTCTTAATATCACTGATTTGATTTCCTTTTCTTTGCGGTATCAGTCTTGATGATGAATATCTTCATGTGGATATTTAAATGCTTCTTGATTCCTTGCAAATCTGTTTGTTTTTTTAATTGTACTTTAGGTTCTGGGTTACATTTGCAGATCAGGCAGGATTGTTGCATAGGTACACACATGGGAATGTGGTTTGCTGCCTCCATCCCCCGCGTCACCCACATCTGGCATTTCTCCCCATGTTATCCCTCCCCGACCTCCCCATCCTCCCCCGCTGTCCCTCCCTTGGCCCCCGCAACAGACCCCAGTGTGTGATGTTCCCCTCCCTGTGTCCATGTGTTCTCATTGTTCAACACCTGCCTCTGAGTGAGAACATGTGGTGTTTGATTTTCTGTTCTTGTGTCAGTTTGCTGAGAATGCTGTTTCCATATTCATCCATGTCCCTACAGATGACATGAACTCATCATTTCTTATGGCTGCATAGTATTCCATGCTGTAATTCTCACAAGCTCTCATTTTGCGGAGGAGGAATTCCCACCAGAAGTCCCCGTCGCCAGGATGTGGAAAAGCTGAAATCTGAGCTCAAGTCATTACCAACTAAATCCAGGTTTCCAACACTCCATGATGCAGCCTTCAAGCCCCTTCCCCCTGGAATGATGACATAGCGGTGGACTTGGCCATGCACTGCCTGACCCTGGCCAGCAGTGAACCGAGACCACCCAGCTGGGACCCAGGGAGGAGGCAAAGAGGAGACCCCTCAGCAGGGTCTGTTTCTCCTGCCTGGGCTTGTCCTGCACCCAGGGCCAATGTGGTCCTAGGGGGTATCCAGAACCCTCCCTTCCTCTTCCAGGTGTCCCCAGAGCTTCAGAAAAGTCTGTGCTTAAAGAAAGATTCAATGAAATCATTTTCAAAAAAGAGGATACATACATACATGCATACATACATATAGAAGCAGGAGTGTACAAGCCTGGGCAACATAGCAAGACCCCACCTCTACCAAAAAAAAAATTAGCCAGGCATAGGGATGCATGCCTGTTGTCCCAGCTACTCAGGAGGCTGAGTCAGGAGGATCGCTTGAGCCTAGGAGTTCAAGGCTGCAGTGATCTGTGATTGTGCCGTTGCACTCCAGCCTGGGCGACAGAGCAAGATTGTGCCTCTAAAAATAAAAATTTTTTAAAAGGAAAAATGACTGTGTGTCTGTGTGTCAGAGCATGCAAATTCGACAGGTGTGTGTGTATGAGAGAGAAAAGACCACACACACACACACACACACACACACACGTGATGGAAAGAATGAGGACAGTTAAAGGAAGGAGAGACACACACATACCCTCAGCCAGAGTGACACTGAGAGGCCTGGCCCACTGGCTGGGGGGGCTCAGTTGTTTGAAGTGGCTTGGGTTGAACCAAATAAACAAATGTCACAGCTCTAGAACTGGCACACCCGGCACCCCATTGAATTTTCATTTTTGTTTTTTTTTTTAACAAAAACAGGGTCTCACTGTTTCCCAGGCTAGTCTCAAACTCCTGGGCTCAAGTGATCTAATCGCCTTGGCCTCCCAAAGTGCTGGGATTACAGGCATGAGCCACCAAGTTTCACCTACTGA